CATCCTGAGGGCAGAATGTTATGGCTCAAGTATTTGGGTCTCTGCCGTTGACATGAGCAATCCAGGCTGTGATTAGGCTCCTGGGCAAGACTGGCTATTGTTTGCATTTAGGGTTTGGGGAATAAACCATGGAGAGGAGGTCTCACTTTGGGTATCCTTGTCTTTGTCACTCAGTCTCTCTGCCTACTAAATTAAAATGAATTTTAAAAAAATCTTTTTAATATTTTTTATTGGAAAGTCAGATTTACAGAGAGAAAAGAATAGACAGAGAAGATCTTCCATCTGCTGGTTCACTCCCCAAGTAGCCGCAATGGCCAGAGAGGAGCTGATCTGAAGCCAAGAGCCAAGAACTTCTTTCTGGGTCTCCCATTTTGGTACAGGGTCCCAAGGTTTTGAGCAGTCTTCTACTGTTTTCTCAAGCCCTAAGCAGGGATCTGGAAGGAAAGTGGAGCAGCTGGGACACAAAACCAAATTTTAAAAAATATTAAAGTAATACCAGTATTGGGCCTGATGCAGTAGCCTAGTGGCTAAAATTCTTGCCTTGCATCTGCTGGGATCCCATATGGATGCTGGTTCATGTCATGGCTGTTCCACTTCCCTTCCAGGTTCCCTGCTCAAGGCCTGGGAAAGCACTAGAGGATGACCCAGGGCCTTGCAAGCCTGCAATCACATGGGAACCTGCAAGAAGCTCCTGGCTTCAGATCGGCTCAGCTCTGGCCGTAGCAGCTACCTGGGGAGTGAACTAGCAGATGAAAGATATTCCTCTCTGTATCTCCTTCTCTCTGTAAACTCTTACTTTCCAATGAAAATAGATAAATCTAAAAAAAAAAAATGTCAGATCAATATAATTGTAATATAAGGTAAAATTTTAATTAAAAAAAAAAGAACTACAGAAAACTGCTTATCATTCTCCCAGAATTTTGTAACCTCTTTTTTCCATCACTGAATTTTTCCAAACACACTGACATTCAGGAATAAGTTACAATTTTCAATTTTTGCTTTACTTTTAAAAATGTATTTATTTCAAAAGTCAGAGCTACAGAGAGAGATAATGACAGAGAGAAAAAAGATCTTCCACCTGCTGGTTCACTGCCTAAATGGCCATATGGCTGAAGATGGACCAGGCTGAAGCTAGGAATCAGAAACTTCATCTAAGTCTCCTAGATGGGTGTAAGGCCCAGGGACTTGGACCGTCTGCCTTCCCATAAGCATTGTCAGGCAGCTAGAGTGGAAGTGGAGCATCCAGGACTCAAGCTGGCATTGCCAGCAGCAGTTTAACCTATATTTGCCACAACAGCCCCTCAGCTACGCGCCCCATCTCCACCCTCCCCCCGCAACAGTTTACTAAACTGTTAATAAAAATAAATTTTATTGTTTTTAAGTTACATAGTTCATAGCATCTTGTTACAACAGCTCAAACAGACCATTTAGACCATTTGTACGTCTGTTTTTGTTGTCTGTTTTTTCTGTTGGCCTTTGTCATTCTTCTATGTCGGCTAAGTTTTCATTGGATGTTAGACTGGATATATGAAAACCCTAAGGCTTGATTCACCATACAGTCCACTAGAGGGAATTTTATACCCTCCTAGAATACAGATCACTTCAATTCAGTCACAACTTGGCCTTGGACATTTTTAGAAGTTAGTCTATTCTTAATATACCTTTCCTTAGAGTCTTCACCTCATCAGGTGTTTCAGCTTTAAGCTGTCTCCACACCAAATGCTTAAGTTGCTGAAATCTTTGCTTAGTTCTTTAGCCTACAAGAAGCTGTTTCTCCTGAAATGTTGTCTCGCACACATAACACATGGGAACTGACAAAAGTCTCTGAGGAAAATTGCACACACATGATGTTGAGCCCTCAAGTATTAACTGTTGACAAATTCGCTATGAAAGAAGCTATTCTATAAGAGCCCAGAGCCAGGGGCAGAAGTTGCATCTTACAAAATCTTTAAAGGTCTAACAATTGAAACAAACAGTAACTACCACAATGATCCTTCAAAAACTTAAACCACATAAATTCATTCTCTTGTTAAAAGCATTCAGGAGCTCTTCAAGAGTCAAACAGGAAATCCTTTCTCAGGCCACACGTGATCAGACACTCCATCAGTTCTCCTTTCCCATCAAGCAATACTGGACTCCTGACATTCTGCCAGTGAGCTCGACACCGATCGTACTTGAAGATTTTACCAGCTTTAACAGAAAAACGTCCACATCTCTTTCATATCTTTGCTCAGCTACTCCCTTTTGAATTAAACCTATTTGACCACCCTATTTAAAATTGTAAAATTTCATTGCCCTGATTTCCTGTGCGTTGCTCTATTTTTATTGTTTCTTTTACACTTATTTTTTGATACTTAGGCTAAACAGGCCTTATCTAAAATGCTTGGTCCATGAAGTGTTTGGGATTATTTTCTTTTAAAAAAAAATATTTGCACACATAGAGACATTTTGGGAGGAGTAGAGGAAGTGGCAGCATTGTAGTATTTTTTGTAACAATACCTTTCATCATGGAAAATGATAAAAAATAATAATACTATACATTTAATAATACTATACATTTTATACTCTGTTTACTTGAAAAAGTATCTTGCACAGCCCTGAATATTTGTTTCCTCCCCAGAGCTTGGCTTTGGTTATGGTTCCAGCCTTACCTCCTCCAACTGCAGCTGTTGTAAGCAGCTCTAGCTCTGCAGGTCCTATTCTCCGCCCTCCTATTCCCACCACAGGGTGTAAGGGTGGTGGCAAGGCTCTTTCACAGCCTGTGACATCAGCATCCCATACAGCCATGGTTCAAGTCCCAGCTGTTCCACTTCTGATCCAGCTCCCAGCTAAGGACTTGGGAATAGTAACAAAGGTGGCCCAAATGCTTGGGCACATTTCACTCATGTGGGAGATCCAAAAGAAGCCCCTGGCTCCTGGCTGTGGCCTAGACCAGCCTTAGCTGTTGCAGCCATGTGGAGAGTAAACTAGCAAATGAAAGCCCCCTCTGTTTCTCTCTGTATCTATCACTTTCAAATACATTATTAAATCTTTAATAAGGAAATAATTGTACAGAGGTAAAGAATGAATCCTGTGGAAACCTATAGAACAAATAGCAAATGGCATCTCAGGTTAAAGATAGTATACTTAAACCTATGTTTCTCAACTGGGGGTGATTTGATTACCCTTGGGACATTTGGCAATATCTGGAGACACTTTTGGTTTTTGCAGCTGGGATGTGCTAGTAGCATTCAGTTATTAAAAGCTTCACTGCTGCTACACATTCTGTGATGCACAGAGCTAGATCCAACAAAGCATTATAGTTAAAAATATCAGAACTGACACTGTTGGGAAATCCTGGTTTAGATAATAACAAAAGAAGACAAGATGAGAAAATGTAGGTGATAAAATGGAAAAACATTTGACTATACAGTTTAAGAATCTTTACCACTAAACTTGAGTTAAATTAAATCAGGAAACAGCTCAGTTAAATCAGGAAACAGCTCAGTTTATTGTAGAAACTAAATCCTAGAAAAATACAATATATAATGTACAATATATGGTTCCCTTGGTATAAGGTTCTCACTAATCTGTAATGTATAAAAGTAAGGGACGAGGCAGTAAATGCTGCTCTCAGAATTGGAAAATTCTAAAATTCACACACATCATGAAAAGCATAATCACCTGCTTCAACAGTCTTCCCAGTCTACTTTCGAAAAAACAAGATTTCAATTAGATAAATCAGAAATGTAGAGGTGAGATTGCCTCATGGTAACGCTTGGAAAGACAAGTTTGATGCAGCAGTCAGGGAGACACCTGAGATGCCTGTATTCCATGTTCAAGTGCCTGGACTTCATTCCCAACTCCACTTCCAATCCTGGTTCCCTGCTAATGCACACGCTGAGAAGCAGCCATGATGACTTGAGTACTTGGGACCCCACCACCCACGTAGGAGACCTAGATTGAGTTTTGGCTCCTGACTTTGTTATGGTCCAATCCCAGCTATTATGGGCATCTGTGGAGTGAACCAATGCGCTTGCTCTCTATCTATCTCTTTTTCTCCTTACCAAATTTTTGTTTAAATATGACCAAAGAACAAACATCTAAAAATAGTTGAATAGCAGAAATAAATATGCCATGGTTCCCATAAATACTCTTATTCACCACGGACTCAGAAATAGTAACTTAAAAGCAGTGTTTTAAGACTCAGTTTTTGCTATATACATTTCTGTAGGTGGGTGTCTCAGTGCACAGGATTTGTACACAAACACACATACAAAACCTAAAAATAAGTCTAGAAAGGAAAGTTAAAGGCAAACAACAAGGTGCCCAAAGTCAGGTTATAGATTTCATACTTTTCAAAAAATTTTTTGAAAGGTAGAGCTACAACTGAGATTTTTCATCCACTTGTTCACTTCCTTAAAGGCTGCAAAGGCCATATCTGATCCAGGAACTTCTTCAAGGTCTCCCTTGTGGGTGCAGGGACCCACCTACTTGAGCCATCCTCTGTTGCTTTCCCAGCTCATTAACAGGGAACTGTATTGGAAAGGGAGCAACCAGGACTTGAACCAGTGCCCATGTGGGATACTGGCACCACAGAAAGAGTCTTAACTTGCTACACCATGGCAGTAGCCCAGGAGCTTACAATATAAGGCTAGGGTAATGAAGAGTCTTTGGTTTTAAAAATAGAACTAATGAGGTCAAAGTTTTCAGCTTTAGTTATGGTGTTAATAGGAGTCCAAAGGTTAGAGGCTCTAAACTAGACAACTAGCTTGCATGCCACTAAAATAACTCAATGAGGGCCATTTGAAGAGTGAACCAATGGATGGAACATCTCTCTGTCTCTCCTTCTTTCTGTGTAACTCTGCCTTTCAAGTGAAAATAATTTTTTAATTGCTATTATCAAATAATGAATACAGCATGCACTAAATTCACAAAGCTGAAGGGGAAATAACAAAGCAAAGACATTTTAATCAATGAAAATAAACTTTTTTAAGAAGGACAGGAATTGGCCTCCTTACCTTTTGACCTCTCCTGAAGTGGTAGCATGGTGCATGTCTCCTTAGGCTTCTCGATCCTAAGATTACATATTACAATCACTTGAATACAAATCCAGGAGGGACCAAAGACATAGGCAGCAAACCCGGAGTGCAACTGATTTACAAAATAAATGTTAAAGAAAGGAAAAGCCATCCATCATAGTTAATCTCCTCATAAATATGTTTGAGCTAACCCAACACTTTGGTTGTTGCTAGGAAATCAGACCAGTAGATGAACGGTGAATGTAATTTATCCCACAACAGAACTCAGGCAATACTAAGAGGAAGGCAACCAGGAATAGTCAATGTCTTGGCATTGGAAGCCAAGATCACAACTTGTGCAGTTTTTTTATCCACTACTGTGGGGAGCCGTGCAGTTGGGTCAGATGGCATGGGTGTGTGATGACCACCACTCCTTGGTTAGCAAGGCTACGAGGAGTTTCTGACTGCATGGCAAGGCCTGGCAGAATGTCTCTGGTCACCTTATTGCTGCCTCACCCCATTGTATGGAACTCAATCACCTCTCTGATATTTCATAGAATTCTCCTGAGGGTGGTGGTGGTGTTTTTTTGCTAATGTGAAGTGATTCCTGTAACTGGTATGACACCTCAAATTGATCAATCATGTCATGATAAAAACACCTTTAGTAATGTAAGGCTATGACACACAGCTAAAAGTATACAATAGTACAATTGAGCCCACTCTGTTTCCAAATATCTTGTTATATGCCCACTTTTGTCCTGAAGTTTGCCCTAATAGAATTAATGTTTTACTTAATTAATGGCTTGAGAATATCTTGGAACAGATGGCAATAATGGAGGTACAAAGAGTTTGTTTGCCATGCACCTCAAACTGTTACAACACATGATATGATGCACTTTAGTTTCTTACCACAGAAAGCAAGCATATGGGCATCTTTTATAAGGAAATAGATGTGAACCCCCTCAAAATGGCTTAAAATCTCAATCTTATATTGGCACTTATTTTTAGGGAAAGAAAACAGTTTATAAAGATAAAAGGAAATTTCTTGTAAAAGCCCTCTGTTTATAGATTGGCTGAGTTGCCTTGATCCCTTTCACTGCCCTTTAACAAAAGAACAAAAAACAATTGAATCAGCACTAGGTGACGATGATTTGATTATAACATTTAGCAAAGAATCTATGTTATATGCTTTTATAAAATTCTTTCATTTATGATCTTTTAATTCTGTACTTTTAATATTCCAAGCAATATGAGTTAGTTTGTGTTTAGTAAAAATTGATTTTGAGTATAAGTAAACCACTTGTCACTATGTAACCACTTGCGCTGTCAACTGTGGAGTTCCTGGCTTCAACCAAGTGACTGCAGGTTTCAATGAGTAATGGTTTGTTGAAAATATTTTCCTTAGGATTGTTTTTTTGTATTCTCTTAACCATGAATTAAAATGAAACAACTGGATATGGTGCAAAAGCTTGTGATGATTTGTGTATAAATAAAGAAGGCAACTTTTCTGAGTTGTCCATTATGAGCATCATGTCATAGTGGTCCGTGTCTTGTCTCTTCTTCCTATCATCTCGCCAATCCATGCATCCTTTGCAAGCTCTCAGTCAGCCAGAGCTGGTCTCTGGCACACTACAATCTGATTTTTGTTATAATTCATCTTTGCTTCTGCTGGAATATATCTATAGATTTTAGGGGAGAGACATCATGATTCAATCTGCTATGAGTGATAAAATTCATTGTAAGAATTCCAAATAGCTTGTAACCACATTAGACTTTAAAACTCAGTAGCAGCTTTTAAATTGCCTACACCTGTACAATTGTTATCATCAGTCATATTGCTGGAAGGTATTTTTTTCACTGAACATGTTTTATTACCATTAAAAACATTTGAAGCAATATTACACTGCCTTCAGAATTTTTCAATCAAGTGTTCACATGCAGGGGGAATGATGGCGGATACACTATTGTATATAAAACAAACAAAACAACAAATACTTCCCTGCTTTGCCAAGGCTCTTCTTTCACATGCTGTTGTGCTACATGCAGAGGAGGATAGAACACTGGGAAGCAACTCAATACATTTTCACCAGAAGTGCTAAAACAAGACTTGTGTCAAAGGCAGGGAAAACAACTAATGGTCTATGCTTGCCAAGCCTTTCACATACATTGTGTCATTAGTCACCACTCTTCCACTTTATAGGCAAAGAACATTTTGTATACCACCGGTAGAATATATTCAGAATATCCTTCACTACTTAAGCAAACTCATACTCACATTAACATAAAATGTTCCGAAGTAATTTCAAAATATATTAATCACAATGAGAAACAAAAAATTGAAACAGGGTGGAAAATCAAAAGTAAGGGGCAAGATGGGCTTTGTTCTTTAAGATGACCACGTGTATTGAAGGAAGGACAACAAGACTGATTTGTACTGATACAAAATTCATTGTCACAGGGAGCCCTACACATTCCACTCCCACTCTCTCCAAATTGCACTGTGACCCATGGTGACAATAATAAGAATGATCTGAGGGTCAGGGACTCTGAGATCTTGGTAATGATGCAAACTGACAATGCTTAGTGGTAGGACTGATACTCCTGTCTACATCCCTGCCATCTCTTCACTCTGGCTTCAGCTACCATCTATCAACAACGACTCCAGCATATCTTACCAATAAGCTTACTTCAGGGGCCAACACGATGTCTCAACTGGCTGATCCTACACTTGCAAGCACTGGCATCCCATGTGGGTACCAGTTCGAGTCCTGAATATTCCCTTTCCCGCCTAGCTCCCTGTTTGTGGCCTGGGAAAGCAGTGTGGGATGGAAGAAGACCTTGGGACCCTGCACCCATGTGGGAGACCTCTAAAAAGTTCCTGACTCCTGATTTCAGATCAGCTCAGCATGGAGCATTGCAGATTTTGGGGAAATGAATCAGAGGATGAAAGATCTTTCTGTCTCTCTTTATATCTGTAAATCAGCCTTTTCAATCAAAATCAATAAGTGTGTGTGTGTGTGTGTGTGTGTGTTTAAGGTTACTTCAGAAAGATTAATTTTGCTTTTTATTTGTTTATTTGTTTTTTGCACCAACACGTATACTAACTTGTTATGACATACCTGGATAGGATCTAGTTTGAAACACTAAGGGTAAGACAGCAGTTTGTAAACATGACAATCAAAGGGCAACTTTCCTATCTGAATAAATCAATCCTTATAATCAAGGAAGGGTCTTTATTAGATTAACATCTTACTTAGAGTCTCCCTGCACTGTCTTTCAATTGGATTAGAAAGAAAGGATAAGATTCTATAACCAGGATACATACATCTGAGAACATAGCAGAGTGAATTATTTCTGAAAGTTTCAGTGCTCTCATAAAAATGATCTAACCTGGGCAATCATGATTTTAAAAAGGAAATTCTCAAATTCTTCCTGGGATGTTACTTAAACGCAGAGAGAAATGGTACCCTTTTGAAATGCAATAAAAAAGCTTAATTCAAAAGCCCAGCGTGGTGGGATAGCACACTAATCACCTGCCTGCAGGAGCTGGCAACCCATATGGTGTGATCCTAGTCCTAGCTACTCTACTTTCTGTGCAGCTCCCTATTAATGGCCTGGTAAAGCAGTGAAGGCTGACCCAAGTGCTTGCACCCCTACACCCAGATGGGAGACTCAGAAGAAGCTCCCAGCTCCTGACTTCAAACTGACTTAGCTCTGGCCTTTGAGGCTATTTGGGGATTAAGCCAGCAGATGCAAAAATCTCTTTCTCTCTCTCTCTCTGTAACTCCAACTTTCAATTAAATAAATATTTTTAATGGCTAGATTGAACAATAAATTGAGACGCAAGAATGAATTATAATCACCAGCCAGACAAATCTCTACATTCAGCAGCATGACCACAAATAAATACTCAACAAAGAAAGGAGAATAGCGATCATCTACCTGAGTGGAGGTATTCCTCTGTCCACTCGTAGCAGCCTTTGATGAACCTTGAGTGGAGTGGAACTTGCATGTTTTTGACAACTTGGCAATCTTGGTAAATATGGCATTTTGACGCACTCTTTGAGCTCTTGTAGACCAAATGCTGTGGTGTATTCTAATTGAAAATATTATCACGATTAAATGACTACTATGTCTTTTACTACAATGTATAATAAAACATACTGTCTCCGTCATCAAGAAAAGTAGTGAACTGTAGTATTTTGGCATCCTTCTTAGGAGAGCCTCCTCTCTATGCCTAGCACAGGCATTACAGGGAGAAGCAGATTCAGGAGCTGCTTAAGAGTTAGAAGGACAAAGCACAGCTCAGCTCCCTGCCATTGCGGCCACTAGGGGAGTAAGCCAGTGGGCAGAAGATCTTTGTTTCTGCCTCTCCATAAATCTGATTTGCCTTTCCATGAAAAAATAAATAAATCTTTAAGAAAAAAAAAAGCAAAATGTTTCTATAATGAGTCACAGAATTATACTAATTGTAACTGACTTCTGTTTTTCTTTTGCATAAACTTACATAAGTGTCACTGAAACTATAAAATGTATCTTGGCTGCTTTTAAAAGAATCCAAAACATTCTTTCTTTGTTTCCTGAAGTAAAATGAAAATAAAAATGAAGTTACCTTTCCGTATCCTTTGTGTTTCAGAAACTGCCTTCCTCCAACTACTCTCAAAAGTGAAAGAAGTATCTAGGGAACTTCTGATGACTCTAGAAGTGTTGAACTTGATTTCAGGTGATAGCACTGACATTTTCTTGTCTTCTTTCAATGGTGTTGATGAAAGTGAGATGCCGCTCCAGATTAAAAAAAAAAAAAATACAAAGGAAACAAGATATGCAAAGATAAGCATTGCTTCTGATTCGGTTCCCATTGTGCAGATAAAAGAGTCACAGCAATCTAAATGAAAAGCTAAAAAGCAAGGCACCTTTAGGGATAATGCAAAAATATGTAGTTGTCTTATTTTAAATTTTAAATATTTATTGAATTCTTTCAAGTTCCAGGTTACAGATATTTGGCAGTATACATATGTAAATTACAATCACAAATCATCACTACAAGATCATAACAATGATTCTTCCAAAAAATATTACTGTTATAAAATGAATATGCATCTTAAAAAACAGATGATGCTGCATGGAAAATAAGCATATTCTCAATATAGTTATTACTTTTATTCTAAACACAGATACAGAAGAATAATCAGTTAACCCAGTTATCTAATATAGCAAACATATAATCAATTCAGCCACATATATTAAGTGTTTATTGTATGCAAGGCATTCCTGAGGTCTGAGGACAGAAAACCAGGAGCAAGGAGTTTCGCGGGAATGGTGAAGAATAACCACCACTAGAGTTATAATTTATGTATGGTCCATTGTTCCAGACTCCTGGATGGGCATTTTATCTCCATTTTCTTCAATTTTCAACAGCAAAAAGATCAGAACTAGCCAGATTCAATCACACACATTCATTTGCACAAAATAAACCTTGCACATTTACTGATGGCTGACTCTATGCCAAGATCTGCATAAAGCATTGGAGAAACATGATAAACAAAACTGCCCCTGCCTTCAAGAATCTTACAATCCAATGAAGAAAATGCGAAGAAATGGATGGCACGGTGCAGGACGTGAGAGGAAAAGCAATACAGAGTGCTGTGGCAGCACACTGGAGGGGATCCTAGCCCAGGTAGAGGTGGGCATTCGGGAAGCCTATCTGGAAGAAGCTAATAAAGCAAGGGCAAGGATAAGTCCTACAGAAGATGATGCTTGTAGCAGATAAAAAAGACCTTGAGATGAGAGACAATACCGCTCCAGAACATAGTTTACACAAAGAAATAGCACACCATCCCCAGGAGACTGTCTAGCCTCAAAAACACAAAAGATCGGGGCAGGCGTGATGACATAGTAGCTAAGCCTCTGTCTGTGACACCAGCCCCCCCATGGGCACCAGTTTGAGTCCCAGCTGCTCCACTTCCAACACAAGTCCCTGCTTGTGGTTTGGGGAAGCAGCACAAGATGGTCTAAGTGTTTGGTCCCCTGGGACCCACAGGGGCGACCCCCATGGGGATTCCTGGTTTCAGATTGGCTCAGGCCCAGCCATTTGTGGCCATGTGGGGAGTGAAACAGTGCATGATAGGTATCTATCTCTTCTCTGTAACGCTGCCTTTCAAATAAAAAATAAGTCTTAAAAAAAAAAAAAACAGAAGATAGCAAATGTTGAGATCAATGTGCACTAAACTGCTGCCTGCAATCCTGTCATCAATTATGGGCACCAGATGGAGTCCCAGCTACTCCACTTCCAATCCCTGCTAGTGCATACGGGAAGGCAGCAAAAGACAACCCTAATTCTTGGGCCCCTGCAACCTGGTGGTAGACCTGGAAGCAGTTTCTGGCTCCTGGCTTCAGAGTGGCTCAGCTCCACCCAGACAAAACTAAATAAATAAACACCCAAGTGTGGACGATTATGAGAAGAAAAGGGAACACTTGCGCAGTATTAATGGGAGTATAAATGACTATAGTCATTGTGGAAAACTATATGTATGTTCCTCATAAAACTAAGACTAGAATTAGCACCTGATCTAGTAATCCCACTCTTGAGTACATAACCAAGGAAAATGAAATCACTCTGGTGAAAAGATATCTGAACTCTCATGTTTATGGTAGCAATATTCATCATAGCCAAGAAATGCTATGGGTTCATCCACTGGGTTCATCCACTGGGTTCATCCACTGATGCATGGACAAAGAAAACGACGTACTTACACTAAGGTCATTAAGTGAAACAAGCCAAGCACAGGAAAGAAAGTATCAAATGATTACATTCAAATGTGGAGTGTTTAAAAAGGTGACTTCAGAGACATTAAAAGTACAATGGTGGTTAATACAGACTGGAGAGAAAGGTATAGAGAAGGGAGGAATGGGGCAAGGTTTATTTACAGATACGACGTTATAGTTGGAGAGGATTAAGAAGTTCTAGGGAGTCTATTGCATAGAGGTACACTACAAATAATGAGCAATATAGCTCTCCATTTCAAAAAGCTAAGAGACAGGATTTTGAATTTTTCTACCATAAAAAAATGCCAAATATGTGAGGAGATGTATTTACCCTGATTAGGCATTATATAATATGTTCCTGTACCCAAAAATCACAGTATTCCATAAATACATACAGTTTTCAAAAGATATATTTATTCATTTGAAATTCAGAGTTCCAGAGCCCAGTGTGATGGCTCAGTGGCTAAATCCTCACCTTGAACATGCCAGGATCCCATATGGGCGCTGGCTCCTGTCCCAGTTGCTCTACTTCCCTTCCAGCTCCCTGCTTGTGGCCTGAGAAAGCGCTCGAGGACGGCCCAAAGCCTTGGGACCCTGCATCAATGTTGGAGAGCTGAAGCAGCAGCTCTTGGCTTCTAGATTCATATCAGCTCAGCTTCAGTCTTTACGATCCCTTGAGGAGTGAACCAGCAGATGGACGATCTTTCTCTCTGTATCTCCTTCTTTCTGTATGTTTGCCTTTCCAATAAAAAATTTTAAAGTAAAAATCTTTAAAAGAAAGAGTTACAGAAAGAGATAGAGAGACAAAGAGATTTTTCCATCTGTTGTGTTCACTGCCCAGATGGCCACAACATCCAAGGCAGAGCGAGGCTAAAGCCAGGAGTCAGGTGTTTCAACCAGATCTCTCATGTGGGTAGTAAAATCATGCACTTGGGTCAGCCATCCTCCCCTGCTTTTTAAGCCATTAGCAAGGAATGAATGGGAAGCGGAGCAGGAAGACATGAATTCTTGCCATAGTGAATGCTGGCATTACAAGCAGTGACTTTGTATTACACACCGCAACACTGGCCCCAACACAATTTAAAAAAAAGAATGTTCTCTAGAGCTGCAGTGTGCATATGTGTACAAAACACTGGCAGAGACGGGATGGAGGGAAAAGTAAGGCGTGGGAGGGGAAAAGGAAAGAGCAGAAGGAGAGGAGAAAGAATAAGATGAAGAGACCAAAGGGTAGCCTCAGAGAGGAGGGAATGGTAAGGGGTCATTTATAGGGATACTTACTCCTAAAGAAGCTACCGAGTTGAATTTGTGCTTTGGCTTTTCATTGGAGGGGATGATATTCTGTCAGCTCTACTTTCAGACCAAGGACAGTCTCCCAATGAAACTGTTGAATTTATCTGGACAAAAGATGCTGGACTCTTTGCATGGTCCATGCCCATAATGATGGAATTATGACTAGTTATGAGCTGTACTACTGTAACAATATGAAGGAAATCAATATGGGGGGAGGGCTTGGAGAGGGGCTGGGGGAAATCCCAGAGCCTATGGAACTGTGTCATAAGAAAAAAAAAAAAAAAGGAAGAAGAAGAAGCCACTGAGGCCAGAGAAAATAGGCTAGGCAAGGAGTTCAAACACTCCCAACACAAACCAATCTAATCTGTGCAGTTTGATCCTTTCTGTTACTTACCTTTACGAAGTATCACACTATAGCCCACACAAAGGGACAATTCCGTGTCCCATGGAACATTTTAAATAAATGAATCAATGAAAGAAAGCCTTTGGATTTGCTGATGAGATCTTGGTTCTGCTTGAGACGGAAGGGTTGGAAGTGACACCCAGGAGACAGGAGTGTGCAGATCAGGCAGCAATGGGGTACAGTGTGGGGGTGAAGCACAGCAGGGAATGCAGTCAAGAGGGGTGCAGGGAAAGGGAGACTACCAAGTTAGCAGGGCACCAAGGATCCTTGGGGCTTTTCCAACCTGCCAGCCACACCCGCCAACCCTGGCCCGCGCTGCTGCCCCTGGGCAAGTCACAGAGGTTCTGCTCACATGCTGCACCCACCCTCTGCCTTCCTGGGGCTGCCCTTCCTTCCAGGCAGTCCAGAAAGAAGAGAGGCTCATCCTCTCTTTGATGTTCTTGAAGATAGGCTCTCAAGCTCTTTTGATTTCATAGCATTTGTTGCGAAAGATTTGAGAAAACAAACAGGACCATCCAAAGGGCAACAATAGTCACGAAAATGACTTCAAAATGAAGCTAAAGCATGGGATAAATTACAATTTCCAGTCTTAAAAGACTCTGGGACTCTTGAGCCAGGCTCTGCTCTAAGCATCTCCTTCTCCTTTCATTGGAGGACCAGTTTTCTTTCACCTAAAAGCCAGCTTCTTCAGCTTGGAAACCCCTCATCCATGACACAGGAGTCCATCAAGGGCTCACTGTAAACTCCTCCTACACTGCTGGGGACACGTGCACTTATGAACATTCCAGTCCGTAGTTGGAGGAAAAAAATACATCTTGAGACATTTGTCCTGTCAAGTCAAAAGTTAGCTTTCTTAATACCAAGTTTTGTATGTGTGTGTGTGTTTAACAAAGTGCTCATGATAAATATTTAAAGATTCATTATATCGTTATCTCTATACTTTTATGTGTGTTTAAAATGTGCCATCACAAAAAGTTTTTCTTTAAAAAAACCCACATCTGCAAAACTACATAACTTAAGGAATGTGTTGAAATAATGAAAAGCCAAATGTTTCTGATCTGATGCTTCCTATAAGCATGGGCACTACCTCGTACTAATGGAAAGAGAAAAGTTAAAGATAATTTATAGGAATAATAAAAATTATTAAAAACATTTAGAAGTTAAAAAAAAAAGAACAAAGTAAAAATGTCTAAGCCAGGCAGTAAGAGCTCACTAAAAACTCAAAATAAACACTTCATCAAATTAACAGTAAACTGAATTAAAGTTGAGACAAATTGTCCA